CCATACAGCCAGATAGATAGATAGATAGATAGATAGATAGATAGATAGATGGATGGATGGACATATAGATAGATAGATAGATAGATAGATAGATAGATAGATAGATAGATAGATAGCCATACAGCCAGATAGATAGATAGATAGATAGATAGATAGAGCCATACAGCCATACAGCCAGATAGATAGATAGATAGATAGATAGATAGATGGATGGATGGACATATAGATAGATAGATAGATAGATAGATAGATAGATAGATAGATAGATAGATAGATAGATGGATATTCTCTCTAAATTAACACTGCAGTTAAACTTACTATGGATGGACAGACAGATAGAACGATAGATAGATAGATAGATAGATAGACATACAGCCGGATAGATAGATAGATAGATAGATAGATAGATAGATAGATAAAATGCATCGCTGCTACTATCTATCTATCTATCTATCTATCTATAAAGAAGGAGAAAGAATCAGCTGTTTTCTTGACCCCTCCTCTCTCCCCTCATCCCTCACTAATGTTACTATCTTTGACAAGGCTGGCACACGCTTACACTGCACGCCTCACCACATGCACATATGGAGAAAGCAACACACGCACACACACATACTCACGCAGACACACATGCGCACCAAAGGCTGGCCTGAGGACAGCACGCGTTTGAGAGACAACCTCCTGACACACACACACACATACACGAGCACACACATGAGAGTGCATTCTGTGGACTCAATATACCAACACAGAGGCGAGCCGATCTGCTGGAAACCACAGAGAATTGAAAGACTGGAGCACACCTCCCCCTCCTCTTCCCCCCTCTCTCACTCTCTCTTTCACACTCTCTCTCTTCTCTCTCTGTGTCCTCCTCTCTCTGAGCAGTACAGCAAGGCATTGCGCAGGATTTAACTCCCCTCCTTCATCTCCCTCTTCTTTATTTTAATCGTTTTTTTCCTTCCTCCAATCCATCTCTCCTTCTGTGGCAGCCGTTGCTCTTGGCAGCGGAAGGATATTTTCATTTCCATATTGGAGCGTTACGAGAGCTGCTATTCGCTCATTTCTCCCACAACCGTGTGTGTGTGCGTGTGTGTGTGTGTGTGTGTGTGTGTGTGAGAGAGAGAGAGTGTGTGTGTG